GTATGTGACTAAATTTCCCATCCAAAAACACAATCTAGTTTCCTGGATATTCCAAAAAATATATTTTCATTCCTCAACTCGATGGACTGTTATCACCCCCTTAACATGGACAATGGCCATTAAGAGAAAATACATGAGAAATACGTTTCGGAGCACTATTTCCCATATAAATTCCATTCGAATCAGCGTATACGATTTCGGTATATTCTCTTATCCGATTTAAAATGTACATAAAAAAAAAAAATTTAATACGGATCAAAATTGACCTGACATTGGCCAGTTCGTTCGTCGGTCGCCTTTTCACAATGATCAACACATCCACAACGGAAGAGTACACACTCCTTGTCGTCGAATAGGTGAAATTCCTCATTGGTTTATCGTTGGCGAAATAGGTATCGAACCGTGTCCCGCCACCAACGATTTCCATCCTCCCCTCCTGTCACCTACCCTCATACACGAACCATCGGTAAAAGTAATTCCGTAGCCGGCAGTCTCTCTCCTCTGAAGCTCGTGTTTATACAGCAGTTGACATCGAACGCGTTTACCCGGGACTGTTAAATCAAGCGCAAAAACTGTCGGACTCTGGCCCCCTCTCCCATCCCGGTGGGCGGGCTTTAACTGTTTGAAAAGAGTAGAATGGAAACGGCTTAAGCGTCGCGGCGACTCGTGTGTGTGTGTCTGTGTTCCGTTTATACGTGTGTGATTCATCGATCCCCGTAACCGGCGGGAGAACGTCCGGCGTACCTGGACCGCTTATATTTACATATTTAACTAACCCAACGGCACGGGCATTAACGCGAACGCGGGACAGATAATCCGGAATATGTTAATCCTGGACGAGGTGCATACCATCGCTTTGAATTAGCGCGGACACTCCTGGGCGATTTGCGTCCATCCCTCCCCCCACCCCTCCGCCGACGAAGTGTGGGAATGCGGTGTCTGAGCTTTCGTTTGCTCGATCCATTGTCCCTCTATTTCTCCTCTTCTTCCGGCAACCTTGCTGATCGTTTCTTTGTTCTTGTGGAACGGCGAGGAGGAGCTCAGGTGAGTGCAACATGATGGTACGAGCTCTGTCGGGAGTTTTAGATCGTTGCTTATGAAATGGTAGTTTTTTTTGTTGGTCGTAAAGTGACATGTAGACTATACAGTCGCTGGAAATATTCTACACTGCCTTGTAAAAGTTTAAAACCTTCTGGAGCTTTTAGTCTTGTATGATTTGACTGAACAGCCGTGGAAGAATAATTCATTATTCTGAAAGTTAAAAAAAGTTAAAAAAGTCAAGTTTCAACTTTCCGGTGCACAAATGTATAGCTTGTTTGTACTGAAATACTGCTTTTCAATACGCTGCAATGATGATTTCATTGAATCCTAAGTGCAAAATATAGTAATATATAATTTCAAGATTGTTTTATAGTTATGAGATGTACCTACCGTATTTCGGTAGTTTAGTAACAACTGCTAGGTAACGTCACCGAAATATTGGAACACCGTTGACCGACTGTTTATACCCAGGGGACTAAATAAAATATTTCTAGCGTATATTTGTCACTCTGAGTTTTCGTTTAATTTAATTAAAAGTTGTTCTCTAGCCGTCGAATGTATCTGTACAGTGAGTCGATTGCTGGAATACAGTGTTTTCAGCGATTGTGTGCCAGTCCACACAGGACAAAGTCGGTTTCTTATTGGGAATTTAGTAAGTTGAATTTTCTACTAATCAGAAATTCTACTCTAGCCATTGCTAGAGGATGCTTCGAAAATCCAACTTAAATACTTAAACACCCAACCCAATATCTACTATGTGGGGTTTATAATATCTATGAGGTTGAATCATAAGTAGCTCCCTCTATAAACACTAAAAAATTACGAAATTATACTTAAAAAAAACACTGACGTTAGTAATATTTAAATTCAGTCGCTATTATTAAGTTGCATAGTGGTAGGATCCATATCAATTGTGAAGTTTCTCAAACCAATATAAATTTAACACCGGTAGTCTGTTAATGGGCTTTTAAATTTCAGTGCTTAAAAATAAAAAGCCTATTAATTTACCCTTAGATCAGGGTAAAAAAGAAATTGTTATATTATTCTATTAGAGTTTTTGCTGTTTCTCATGAATTTAATTTGCTACTGTAATTGAACCGTTTAATAATATCTTATTGGCTATTGATCGTTGGATCTACTGAACCCATTAAATAGCAACCCCTTAAATAATATGTGAAGAAAGGGGAAACTTATTTACGAATCAACCCAATATATCTGTTAATGTGTATTCTATAACCTAATCTCTATTTCTGTCGGAACACTGACAGTTCTATGTCCAACTGGTGTACATACAGATGTCAGTTTCTGTCGACATCAGTGTCCTAATCTTTATCGCTTTGTTCTCGACACGCGATAGTTGTTACATGATCGTGGTCGGTGACAGTTTGTCAACAGCACCAGGTATAATTGAGTGAGCCGAAACGGTGGCGGCCGAGGGTCTGTCGAGCGGAAAGGGAGTTAAGGTCGCTTAACGCGAGTAGGGGTCTTTGTAACCTAAAATCCGCGGGCAAAGTTTGGCGCCACTTGGCAGCAGTTGTCCCCCGGATCGCGAAGGCCACCTAAGGTCTCGAGTGATCCTCCACCGGCTGCTAGTTCTTCCTGGAGTGTACTTCAACGTTGTTGTCACTGCGCCGTGGAATATGCGAAAGCCACACTCCTCTTGTACCCGTTCGCGTTCAACTCTTTAACCCCCTATACACTAACTTCGCCGTTATCGCAGATGCAGGTGAGCAACGGACCTCCTAAATCATTTTGAAGCCACAGCTATGAACGACCATTTATTTCTCGTGTGGAGTCAGGCTAGATTTCTGCGGCAATCTTCCTAGAAAATAGGAACGATACAAAGTAATATTTTCTTTACGTTTATTCAGGATTTTTCTCGAATATGTAGTCCTTTGGAGAGATAACAATTTATGTTGAGACAAAGAATCTTGCTATACATTCTTGATGATGAGTATTAGGACAGTTACTGAATATGCAATTGCAAATTGCTGAAAATCTGAAGTAAATATTGTTTGGGGGATATTTAAGCTCGATGGATGACGCTTATGCTAGGGTGAAATAATAAAAGTGGCCGAAAATACATAATTATTATGAAACATCACGTTTTTTTGGTACAGGTCAGGTGCCCTAGTACTTATGAGCGTACGTTCAATTGTAGAGGAATGATTTTCGAAGCATTAAAGTAGATAGAGTTTGGGATTTAATAATAGTCTTCAGCGCAGAACCAGTTACACACCAAACGACGATTTATTTAACCCTTGCGTTCACTGTTTCAATAAATTGTTGCAGTACTATTCTTTGAATTAAACTTGGCCTCACAAGAGACACCACTCAACTGTAACACATCGATTTTACTACCGTTTGGTACAGGGATAGTATTTTCAAACGTATTTAAAATGTATTTTTTTATAGCTCCTGATATTCTCATCTAGGGGGAGAAAACAGTCCTCAAAGTCGTCGGGGAAAAATACATTTACCTCAATATCTCGCAAACTTAGAAAAGATATTTGGTAACAAGAATAATGTGTTTTTTTTCATAATAAAAATAACTGCTTAAATAGTTTTTCGAAATACTAATTTGTTTAAACAATTATTATTTGTTCTTTAATATTCCGAAACATTACTTAAACAGTTATTTTTATTATGAAAGATACACAATTCTTGTTAACAAATATCTTTTCCAAGACGAATACATAGTTGGGAAATATTGGGGAAAATGTGTTTTTCACCCATGGCTTTCAGGATTGCTTTATCCCCTAGATGTGAATGTCAGCAGCTACGAAAAACTACGAGTCGAATATTTTTCAAAATACTACCTCTGTACCAAACGGCAAAAAATCGGTGTGTTACAATTGAGTAATATACCTTGCTTGTTAAAGTCGAATTCAGGAAATGTACTTACATATCCGTTTATCATTGTGTATGTGTACTACTGGTGCAAAATTGATTTACAAGTTTCTCTGGTAAAGAATATAATCAGTATTAAGGTCTGAGTTCGGGTTAAATTGACCCAAACAGTGCATTAGAGTAACGTGAACGTTTAAAAACTGTAATTACTCTGTTGTCGGATCTCAAATTCTCTAGTAAAATTGAAATGAATAAAAAAAGAAAGGTTACTGTACGTTCACGATTTATTCATTTACGTAAAATCACGATCTTTGGGATTGTAATTCCAGTTCGGTGACACGTAATTTAGACACATTCATTATCGAATAAATCGTAGTGGATGACGTGAATGAAAGGAAAAGGAAATTATCATGAAAGCGTTACAATCATATAGTACCAACCGGGGCCAATTGTTTCTGAGCTACGCCGGTCGTAACACGCGAAGAATCTTGTCCATCTGTTAGCACTATTTGCCAACCCCGAGGTCATCTAAGCTGGCATTGAGTGGAATCAACGACGGGCACGATTTCCTTGTTGCGTGTTTCGAGACCATAAAAACGAGGGCGTGACAACCATAATCGGGGAATGACAAGGGATCATTAATACACACTCGAGTGCAGTTCTTCGTATTAATTCAGTATGAGTAGATCATCGATTTTATCCATTTATGGCATATACAAGTGTCTAAAATACGATAAAATATAAAACGTTACCATGTATAATAAATTTTTCATATTATTCGTAGCTTAATGAAATCCTTATAGGGGGAAGGAATTTTCAGTTAAGACACTTGACTTGATAAATTAATTCGAAAAATACAAATTTACATAAAAATCCGCAGTCTATAGTTTTTATGCATTTTGACACAAATGAAAGTGAATGAATTGGGATGGAATAAAAATTGTATTTTAAGTTCAAAAACAGACTTCATTTTATTCTTTGTTAAGTAATAAGAGTATATTTGATACCTTTTGTCATAAGTTGGAACAAAATAATACGAATTCGTATAAATAATCTGTAGTTTATTTATGATTGAACAAAAATCAATAATTGCGTGTGTTTTGTTTCAGGCAATGGGAATTTAGAGTTGTTTGATAGTGAGAGCGGGCCGGACCTCACACTATCACCTCAGACCTTCACGTCGACGGCAGAGGCCTTCATCAATGACAATAGTGATAGTCTTGGTGTTCCAGGAGACAACGATACGGGTAAGTGCTACTTACAATTGCACCCTTACCGCGAAAATCAGTGAAATAAGTACTTTACAGCATCCGTTTATCTTTTTACACATTTTACCATATTAGGATAAAACAATATATTAAAGTCTAGCGAACTGAATAGTAATTTAAATTTCTGAATAGTCACACCTGAAAGTAAATGAAAGAGAAATCGATAGTCGAGATATCATCTGAATATAATTTTCATTGCAGTAACGAAAATTCATGAATTTATTAATTATATTATATAGATCCGTTTCACACCAAAGTGTAGCATCAGAAATGATTTTATATTATACTACAAAGGGATTGTTGATGAAATACTATAAAGTCTTAGAATATCGAGATTGAATAAGTCTTTTTGGAGTATTTCTATATATACTTGTGTTATAAATAACTACGGTAATTAACGTGTAAATCGAATTATTACGCCATACGAGGCGGACACTGCTACATTTACTTTCAGTGTCTAGCTCTATACTTTTCCGTGAGTTTATAACAAAAAAATCTAAATAAATGTCACGTACTATTAATCATAAAAATGTTAAAGCGAAACAACTTTAATTTGACAAAACTACATAAAAGTAAGAAAATACTTTTTTTACACAAGTTTTCATTAAACAAGTCTGGAAATCAACGCAGTACATATTTGAGGTATTACAAAATAATAAAACAAACAAAGTCTTATATATTTAAAAAAAACGTTCAATGACGTTGAAATTGATAAAAATATTTAACATTCAGTCTAATTGTAAAATAAATTGGTCAAATTTAATAGGAAAGTTTAGTGAAATTTAAAAACGTTTTAAAATCAGTATTTCTGGTTTAAATGAAAGGGAAGACCTTTAAACAAAATCTTCTTCGACTTCGAAACATAGTCAACTTTTCTATTGCAAAAAACAACAACATACAATTGTATTCCTCGAACGGCACAGCGATTGTTCGTTGTGTCTATTCCCTTTATTCGTTAAAATCGTCACCGAGCAAATGAAATCTTCTGTGAATCCTGGCGAGCGTGATTCCGTGTTTTAATCGCCTGCTAACCCGGCTGTAATTTAATTGAACGAAAGGGCGTAGGAGGTCGATCGTTTAGAGTTGTCGAGCAAAGGAACCGAGGACATTGCATTAACGTAATTGTTGTGCTGGCTCGTCAACAAGGCACAGTTGAGCAGTGAGTTACAGCTAGTTCGAACATGTTGGGGGAGGCCATTTCCGTGCGTGCGCCTCCGGTATATAATACCCATTGTTTCCGACAAGTATAAGGGGACGGTGCCGGTTGTACACCGGCTATAAAATGTCCGTATTGTTTCGCGGGGACGCGCTGCACGGTAATCAAGTCGCCTTCTGACAATAGAGACCGACTACCCGACGTTTCAATCGGAACTCGGAACATCTTAAGTCTTGTCCAATTCTCAACATTATGTCGGGAAAATAAATGTTTTACGAACATTGTTCTTTCTCTTCGAGTTATACTGGGTAGTTCTGAAATGGTGGTACAACTCAAAAGGATATGATTCTACATGCAAAAAGTAAGTCGAAAATGTAGAATAGTAGTTTCTCGTACGATGCTTCGTTTTCGAGTAAATTGAGATTGAAAATCTACCGAATACGCGTGCAATGGAATAGGATTTGGCTAACCCAGTTATTGCATACTGTTTCTACTTGTTGTCACTGTGAATACAATAATGTCGCGTTAACTGCGCGAAACTGTATGCGCGCAGTAATCGTGGACGGTCACTATGTCAAACTCTTGTAAATTTTGTATGTAATACTATCAACAATGGTCACAGGAAAGGTCAACGAGCGAAAAAGAAAGAGGGACCGAGCCTAAATGCAGCTGGAAGTTGCATTATTATTGTCTCACCGACACATCAGTGTTTAATCTTTTTTTTTCTCATGGAGGGACAACCACTGACGTAATAAATTATACACTTCACTGGTTCAAGGGGGGATCCCCCCAGCGGTGGGGATTACGCGTGGGAAGTTAATTTAAAAGCCTTCCGCGCAGTTAACGCGACTTTACTGTACATGCATGTTAAATGACGTTTGAAACATGATTATCTTGAAAACGAAGCATCGTACGAAAAAGGTACACACACGCATTTACGTTGAACGAAAATACGCGCGACTAGACTCCTTCGTCGCGATTCGTAACTGCAATAGAATGCAGTAACATCGCGCAACCTCTCATCCTTTGACGCGTCATTCACGGCTGGGGGGAGGGGGCCGAACAAACGGGCGTCCTGGCCAAAAATATCGGATTTCAAGAGACGAGCCAACAGCCGCGTGTCGTGTGCCCGATGCCAAAAGTGTGTTGTGTTCGCGTAGTCGTGTGTTTCCCCGAGCCTCCTCGTGTTCGATATGTTTTTTCTTTCTCGATACACGGACATCCTAATTGCCGTCGCGTGTCTCCGAGTTGGAGCTCTCCCCTAAATGGGGGTTTCTGGAGGAAATAAACATACACACATGGGGAGTATTCGGCTAATGATCTACAAATGACGAGATAGAACCAACGATTAGGATTCACCGCGTGAAAATAATTTCGTCGAGGAATGATAAAAAATCAACCACCTCGTCCGAACGTTTGTTTATTTGTTACGAAGTGAATTGGCGTGGATGAGAATTTATTTTATTCGGTTCGTTAGGGAGTAATTGTTATTCCTATATTAATTATTATTTTAGAATTGTTAACGTAAATTTTAACGTGTTATGTTTATATGGTTCAATAGAAAGAACAAAACGGAGTATTTACGATTACACGATACACTCGTAACAGAATTTTTGTAACGTTTCCATATGGGAATATTAAAGAGTTCACGATTCGATCAGTAATTTAAGATTGAAATGCATACAGTCCGCGTTGTATGTGCAATTTACGTTCGTGAATATTGGGAGACTTGCAATATCTGAAGAATATGTGATATTTTATTGTATGAAGATCTACACTAGAACTACCAAATCAATCAAAATGACTGGTCAGTACCCTCCTATAACAACGATTAAACTCTTACAACAATGCATTTTCTCAGATCATTCACAACTTTTATTGCAACATCAAAATGAAAAATCATTTAATATATAAATTTATATATTTTCAAAACTTTGTCAGATTTATCAATCCGATAAAAGTAGATGTACGTTTATTGTCAGTAGTTTTAGTCTTAATAACGTTATCGATGACCACCATGGTAATCCTGTTAAATAGCCTCAACGAATTTTTATGAAACATCACATTTTCGTCGCGCGTAATGACTGTCCTAAAGCTTACAAACTACAGTGTACATAATACGAAACGTTCAGAGTCAGCGAATGTATAATGTTCCAAACAAGCATGGATTTAACGCCGAAAATTCCTCGTGTCAAAGCGTCCGAACGGTTTCAGTTTGAAACGGTCGAGCGCCCGCGGAATATCCATCAGCAGCGATGATTTCCAGCCAACGAAAGCCGGGGCCTTTGATCCCCTGGCCCCGGGTAAAATTCAAACACGGCGATCGCGGTAAGGTGTAACTTTTGCGCGGCGGTAAGTTCATTACAACAATTTTGAGGGAACTCCGAACGTCGGTGGGGGAGGGGAACTTTGGAGGCACAGCTGCGGGCGGTCGCGCACTGCGCGTCTATGAATAAATTTCACCGTGACGATATGTCATTTGCATATTACCTGTTATACGTGACGGCCACGAAACCTCCGTCGCCGTTGAGTCTCCTCGCATCGATGTTGGGCCAACTCGAAACATTTGACTCGCGGGGAAATTTATGAGTAGACTGTGGATTTTGATGCAAAATGACATTTTATAAAGTAATTCATGAAGACAAGAACAGCACTAAGAACTTCCTTCTTCCCTTAAGTATCTTGTTGGGTTAAGAATAAAATGGAAAACTCGTAGCATCTAACGAAAGTTTTTTCTGTTATTGTATTTCACGGAGTTCTATAGACTATAAATGCATAAAATCCACAGTCTATTTATGAGAAAGGATATATGTTGTGAATTGTTACTCCTGAATCACGAGTGATTCGATCATGTACGTTCCTAATCACTATGATATTTCACAATGATTCATGATTTTCCGTGATCGTGTCTGATTGGTGGAGACAATTAACACACTTAATTAAATCACATTTCCTCCGATACAAAGCAATAGAAATAATCTTTTCGACAGTCGCCAGTGCATCGATAAATGTCCCAGTCGCGAACCTTGATTAATTCGAAATCCATGAAACTGAACGTTCTATTGTTCGATTATTTTTCAGACGTAATTAAATGACATTTCCTCCGATACAAAGCGATAGAAATAATCTTTTGGACAGTCGTCAGTGCATCGATAAATGTCCCAGTCGCAAAACTGGGTTAAATCGAAATCCATTCGCATGGGACATTCGAAATGATTCAGTGAACGATTGCGGATAGTCGGTGAAAATATAAAAGACAGGATAAAAATATTCCGCGTCGTATTAAATTCCGCGAAACGCTGGTCGACTCGTAATAAGACATCAGACTGACGCGCGCGCGCGGACCGTCAATGGAGGGATGCACACAGAACGGAGGAGAAAAAAACTACGGGGAATCGTTGTAGACAGAGGGAATATTGCATTCTTGTGCCGAAGCAATTACTCGCGCCGAGGTATCGTTCTTCTGTCGCCTTTACAGCGGAAACTTTCCGCAACGGATAGAGCACGGTGGAGGGAAAAAAGGAGAAAAGTAGGAGGAAAAGAAGGACCACTTTTTCACCACCATGGAATACTCGAGGCAAAGGATCGTATCTGGGACTCCCCGTTTACCTTTTCTCGTCCCTCCCACTTCGTTTTTTTTCTTGCCCCGAGCCTCTCTGTCTCGTGACGCGCGTTGCTTGTTCTCGAAAGGACTTCATTTGTGGCTTTAGGCTGTAATAATTCGTGCACCGTATTTAAATGGATATTTCGAAACGTCTCTAATGTGATATTACGGGTCTTTTATTTTATCATAAATCGTATTTCATCACACGGTCTGTCTGTT